TTGGTAAGGCTCTCTACACTGCCGTTCATGGAGAGAATCCCACAAACGAGTCAGGCTTCCAGTCAGTCACAAGGGGCCAGATGGTGAGTGGACTTCATCTAGTAAAACAACATGCTGGAAAGAGCAAAAAAAAGAGTGTGAAAAGAGAATGCGATCGCCCCGGGTGCACTGGCAGGTCCATCAATAGATTAGGATAAATTCATTGCTTGCTACCTTTGTGCTACCCTAATGATGCGCAACAGCTGGGCTGCAAGGCTAGCTCTTCTTTTAACAACCAAAGACAGAAAGTATAATAATTTTTAAAAATAGCAAAATGAACGAAATAAAGCATTTTCCTGAGATGTTAGCTTTTGCATATTTTTTAGAACGCATAAAAAACCAATTTCAATTGAATTTAAACTACCAGGGTTTTTTTCAGGGTTCTGTTCAGATCATCTTTTCCCATTTTAACCCCTGAGTTAGTGTGGCTTTGCCTAGCTATCACATCTCATAATTTGATTTTTTTTTTTTTTTTTTATGACCATGTCAGGAAATGGAAAATTCTGAAACTACGCCGGCTTGAATAATTCAAAGCATCACTTTGCTGGTGAAAAAAGCCTCGATGAGAAGTTTGGGCAGTCTGTGCTAACTTGAACTTTAATTGCAATCAATTTATTTAAGCAGGACTCCAAAGTACCAAGCAAAATTGCCACTGGTATAAATGCAAAACTGCAAATTGCTTGTGATCACATGCATAGTAAAAGAGAAGTACAGCACATGGGAGATAAAGTACTGATGTTTACTGGTCTGTATCTCAGACAAAGCAATTATGGAATATAGCATGTTCTAAAGTGAAGCAATCACATGCATTTGAAGAATCCTGAGTTAAACATTGTTGACCGTATAAACGGTAATGGTGTATCAAAGGAAATGAGAAGGAAGCAAAGCACAAACCTTCAAGCTTCACAGGCCCAACAATAGTTTGCTTGTCTGGCAACATGCTGAGGACAATTCCTGCAGGAGATGTTCACCAGCAGACTCTCCAAAAGATGGAGGAGGGCTCCTCCATGGTGCCATGTCACAGAAACCCTGCAACAACCAGCCCCATCAGAATGACAGTGCTAAGGCTCTCTCTTTTGTTACGTTCATGTGTTCTTATCAAATTTCCTTGGTTATTCCTTGCTCAGTTTACGGTGAAAGGACCTCCCTTCCACTATCTGCCAAGCTATCAGGCTTAACACTGGCTCTGATCATCAACCTGGACTGTTTTCAAACAGGAATAGTCAAATGCAATAAACCTCCTGCAATCACAATCCCTTTGCAATGATGCACAAGCCATAAAGCAGTATTATTTTCCTCCCCCTCTTGAAACAGAGCAGCCAGCAGAAATACACACTAGTTAAAGTAATTGTTTTTTCTGACATAAGCAGATATGACTTGGATATTACGAGCAAAAATGTTTCATTCTTATGGGGCATTGTTCTAACCATAGTGGTAATTACTCTGCTCAGTATTCTGAAGCAGGAATTTCTAAAGAAGATAATGGGCTTGGTGGTGGGAGTTCTTGGGTAAGATTTTGTGGCTTATGTTAGGCAAACTGCTGGTTTAGAGGATCATAACATACCCCTCTGGCCTTAGAGTTCATGGATTCACTAATTAAAAACATCTCCCTGTGCAGACAGTATTTCCTCCTTAAATGGGCTGGAGATGCTCTGTCTCCACACAGAAGAAAGGCACAGACACTGCTAGAACTGGCGACTGTGAGCTGAAAGTCCCCAAGTCTATGACTACCAGCTTAAAACGTAAGTGTATAATGGGACAAAAATAGAATTTAAAGAGATGGAGAACACTGGCAGTGAGGAAGATGAAAAAAAGAAAACCTCAAACATGTGCTGCTTTAACTCCCAGGTGAGCTGGAAGGTGAAGCAGCCTTGAACACAAGGCAACCCCTGAAAATAACTTCCCTGTTCAAACCATAGCTCCTAGCATCCCTCAATTACTGTGTAAATATTGGCTAACCTCTGAAAACGGTTTGGGAGGACCACGATGTGGATTTTGCAGAGGGCACGCCCACATCTTGCAAATAGCAGGGAAGTTTGCTCACTTGGCTTGCGGCGCAGGAATGCATAAAACCAAGGAGGCAGAAAACAGGAAAGGCGGTCACTGGCCTCTCCCAGCACTGGGAGAGGATGGCAGCAGGTTCACAGGGACTCCTCACAAAGAGCCCCTGTCTGTGGGGACCCAGCATTGCCATTTGGCTCGTGTCTTGAATAGAGGGCACTTTTTCAGCAGGTTTCTCGGACAACTCCATGCATTTTCTCTGCATAGCACATCTATTTCTAAAAACATCCCATCCTACATCCTGAGAGGTTTGTCTGATGGCTGCTGAGAAAAGTCCCAGCTGAACACTGTGCCACGCTCAACATGTTCCCCTCCCACCCCAGCTTGGCTCAGGACCCACTCCTTCTCTCCCTGGCCAAACCCTTATTAACTGATGCTCACCTCCTGCTTTTTAAGATGATGTGTTTTCAGTGATGAGGAACCATGAGGGCACGCATGACCTGCTCCCTGAATCACACCCTTTGGGCCAGGAGACCTGTTCATGGCTACCCTCAAGAGCCATTTTGGGAATATTTATCTAAACTTCCTGTGCTACCACTATTGTGAAATGAGAGTAGTCTGTCTGTACCATCAGTCAGCAGTCGTCTGTCAGGCGTGACTCTACACCTACCCAGGAAGCAAGCAGCATCTGCACCCTGAAGACGTTTGCTGCATCTTCTCTTGACTGCAAAGCTACAGACCTTTCCAACTAAACAGCCCAACCCGCAGACGTCAGAAAATTATTTCAGGAGATCAAACCTGCCACACCATTTCACTGCTCATCAGTCTGAGCACGAAAAGACCCTTCCTGTGCAGTGAGCCAGGCTGCAACCCCCTCTCTGGCCAACCCCAGGTCCACGGGTTCAAAACCATAGGTGCTGCTGGTTTCTCCTGGCATGGCCAATCTTTGGGAGTACCACTGAAAGTGCAGATGACCAGAGGGCTGTAGCATCTCTCCTATGATGACAGGCTTAGACACCTGGGGTTGATGAGCCTGGGGAAGAAAAAGCTCCAGGGAGACCTTAGAGCAGCTTCCAGTACCTAGAGGGGGCCTACAAGAAAGCTGGAGAGGGACTTCATGAGGAAAGTAGGGATAGGACAAGGAGCTTTAAACTGAAAAAAATTTAGATTTAGATTAGACATTAGGATGAAGCTCTTTACCTGGAGGGGAGTGAAACACTGGCACAGGTTGTCCAGAGAAGCTGTGGATGCCTCATTCCTGGCAGTGTTCAAGGCCAGGACAGACAGGGCTTTGAGCAACCTGGTCTAGCAGAAGGTGTCCCTGCCCACAGCACGAAGGTTGGAATGAGATGATTAGGTCCCTTTCAACCCAAACAACTCTGTGACTCTATGAAAATATCATACCTCGAAGCCTACAGCAGCTGTCCTGGCTGCCTTGCACTCCTCACCAGTATGGCAAGGGCAGGAGCCAGTGCCCACAGCAGTGCTGGGGGGCTGCACTGTCACAGACATGGGTTGACTGTGAAAACAGCATGGAGGAAGATTACTTACTTTAGCCCAACTGGGGAATGAGAAAGGGCTTTCCATAAGTGCAAGGACCATTACCCCTCTTCTTGAAGCTGACACCTTCCTGCAGTCACCATCGCCCCAAGCGGCCTAAAGCTGTGACCTCTCCAGCCCTGCAGTAAGCTTGCACCTAAGCAGGCTGTGCACAGCCAGCATCACCCTAGGGATTAAAATGAATTTTATTCCCTCTAGGGAATGAAACCATCAATGTTGTCTTTGCTCAAGGGCTCAAGTTTCCCAGCAGCAAGAGCTGTACATACACAGAGAGTCAGTGTCCCCAAATGCTCAAAGAGTGATACAGGTCCACCTTTTCCCTTTTTGTTTGCAGATGAAAAGCTCACTGTGGTAACAAGCCTCTGAGGCACGATTCAAAATTACAGTGACGTTCTGGACCCAATTTTAGCACCGTGTCAACTACGCCCCCCCCCCCCCCCCCCGCTTCAAACTCCTCCATCCCAAAACAACAAGAGGCAACAATTGCAGTGACCTGCAGAAAATGTAAAGCACAAGCCAGCTGATCCCTGGCAACACAATAGCAAGATTAGTTCATCTGCAGTGAACAAACACGTATTATGTGGGTTTTAAAGTTAGGAGAGGAAAATGCTGTGGTTTTAATGTATTTCTATTCAGTAAGGCTGCAACTTATTACTTCCATGCAGCTGAGAAGCCCTGTTTTTAAAAATAGCCTTCAGCTTGTTTTGAAATCTGCAAACATCTCGCTTTGTTCTGCAGCAGTGCAATAAAAACCCGAGCCAGAAACGATCCCGTTTTCCTCCACACGCATCACCTCCCCCTCCCCAAACCCCTGCGCCCCGCGGATGCTGGAAAACCTGACGACAACCCTCGGATAAAATAATAACAGCAATAAAAATGATAACAGACACACGCACACCCCCTACACGCTGAAACGGCAACACGGAGGGGGGAAACCAGCCCCGAAAGACGCCGGAGACGAACCTCCGGAGGAGCCTAGGTCACCAGCAGACAAAGGGAGTGGAGCCGGCGGCGGGCGGGGAGCGCCACAGCACCCCCGAAGGTCGGGCCAGCGCTGGGGAACGTGCCCCCGGGCCCCGGTGGGGCCGGGCTGGGCCGCGCCAATGCGGCCGGCGGCGGCGCGGCGCTGCCCACCGCAGCCAATGGAGGGCGCGAGCAGGAGGGCTGCCGCCGGGGGCCGGGGGGTAGCGGGGGGGGACCCGCCAATCGCGGCGGGCCGATGGTAGGGAAATACTATTATGCTAATAGTTGTTTTGCTCGCATTCGCGGGGAGTGGGGTTTAAAAGCCAGGCGGCGAGGGGTAGCGGCTTAGAGGCGAAAGGCAGGGCCGATAGGATAGCAGGCGGGGCGGGAGGCGAGGAGCGACGGGGGGGCACCCACCGCGCCCCATCCCTCCCACCCATCCCGCGTTCTCGCCAGCGGCGATGCCCAACGTGCACCTCTCCGCTGCCGCCGCCGCCCTGGAGCGCCTGTCCGTCCGGCGGGCCCTAGGCGGGCACGGCCGCAGCCCCGTCTGCAGGAGCCTCTTCGGGCCGGTGGACCATGAGGAGCTGGGCCGGGAGCTGCGGAGCCGCCTGCGGGAGATCGGGGAGGATGACCAGCGTCGCTGGGACTACAACTTCCACACCGACACACCGCTGCCAGGGCCCGGCCGCCTGCGCTGGGAGGAGGTGGAAGGCGGCGCTGTGCCCGCTTTCTACCGGGAGACGCTGCAGGTGGGGCGGTGCCGCGTCCCGCTCCTGCGGGCACCCCCCTCCCCGCCGCCGTCACCGCCGCCCCCCGCAGCCGCCGTCGCCAGCAAGGGGCCCGGAGGGCGCCTGAGCCGGGAGAACCGCGCCGCGCCCTGCTGCCGTGGCATGCGGCTCTGCCGGCGGGGCCCAACGGCCCGCATCACAGGTGCGTGGAGGCGCTGGGGGGGGTCTGTGGGCGGTGGGTGCCCCGCCGCAGCGGCTGACGGATCCCCCCGTTCCTCTACGTCCCCCATCCAGATTTCTTCGCGAGGAGGAAAAGGCCAGCGGAGTCCAAGGCGGCGACGGAGCGTCCCGCCGTCTGCCCGCAGCCCCCCGGCGCCGCTACGGCTGAGCAGGCTCCCCGCAAGCGGCTCCGGTGAGCCAGGTGAGGAGCGCCCCGGGGGTGGCTGGGCATCGCTGTTTTATTGCCCTATTTTTTATTTTTTTTTTCTTTTTCCCTGATTATTTTTTCTCCTTCTTGTTCCTCCCCAGACTTTTGCACTACGGCACCCACGGGAGAGGCGCACCGCCCCCCGGAGGTGCGGTGAGCAGGGACTCCCCCTGGGCCCGCCTTCACCGGGAATGGGACCGGGAGACGAAGTCGAAGCGCTTCCCAGCCGGTCGCGGCCGGAGCAGTATTAACGTACAACTGTGCAATGTATTACGTTTTGTATAGAAATGTATTATGCCTAATGTGAGTACACTGGCCTGAAGTGTAAAGCTTTAAAAGTCATTTATATGAAATGCTTAATCTCTGCTGAGCTATCAGTGCAAAAAAAAAAAAAAAAAAGCGAGTGTATATTTGTACAGAACTTTTTTTAAGAGCTATACTAACTTATATTTTCTATTTATGTCAGAAATGTGGATAACTTTGACATCCAATAGCCTTTCGGTTTTTTTTTTTTTTCTTTTTGGTTAAGCCAGAGGGCACTATATTTGCTTTTGTTATTTACAAAATGTAAATTTATTTTTATAGTGGGATTTTTTTTTCTTTTTTTTGCATTCACAAGATGTAGCTATGAATCAAAATATTTACTAGACTTGAAGACAAATCTGTTTCAGTGGTTCCTGAGCCGGTCTGTACCACTGCCATTGCAAATAATGCCACAACTTCAGAAACACTAAATAAAGAAGCCAGGAAACCCTAGCAAAGCTACTCGGTGTGTGCTGTGCCGGCGTCCTCGGGTGGAGAGGGGAAATGCGGGGCGGGGGGGGGGAAGCTGGGGCTGGGGAGGCAAGCTCAGGTCTATGTATTTGAGGCGGGGAAGAGGGCAGGGATGCGGGGACGGCGCGTCCACCTCGACGCCCTGCGGTGTGGAGCTGGTGTGCAATTCCGAGGGGAACGGGTTTATTTTCCACCCTTCCCAGCTCTAAAAATAAGTGGTTTTGAGTATTGATGAAGTTCGGCAGCACACGCCCTTCTTCACGCCGCAAATTTATCCTTTCAGCACGTTTTCTGAGGTTTTATTTGTTTTCAGTCGTTTTCTTACCGAAGCTGTATCTGGCCCCTCCTTGAGGGCCTGACTATGCTGAGTGCGGCAGCACCCCATCAGGGCTACCTACGGCTGCTGCAGCTTTTGCTTAGGGACTGCCTGTGGGGGTGACCACAGCCGCACAGTACCCTCGGTGGGCTCAGCACTGGTTGGACACCCCTGCCTTGGGGGTGAGGGGGAGATTGTCCCCGGTGTCTTCCAGCATTCAAACCCTGACCTGGAGCTCTAAGCTGTGGCTATCCAAGGAAACACTTCCTGGTACCTCTTGCCCAAGCTCAGCAATGATTTACAGGGCAAACATACAACAGTGCTAGGAAAGGCAGCAATTTCAGCTCCCATAAAAGAGGGGGGGGGGGGGGGGAAGGGGGGAAACAACAAACAGACAAAATACCCAGCATTTTGGCATTAATGCTTGGGGGTGGCAGTGCTGTCACAACCAGGCACCCAAGGCAGTTTGTGGGTCACCCTGTCCCCTTGGTCGAGGAGCAGGTTTAAGCAATGGGATCTGCACACAGCCTCATGGAGTCAGGGCACACACCCCTCTCAGGGTCCCAAACGCTGTACTGCCCAAAGAGTGGGGAACAGACCAAGTCTGGTCGTTGATGTAAATGGTGCAAGGATTGGGAAACTGGAGAGTACAGATGGGGAGCAGGGATGTGGGAGGGGGATGGGGGTCCTAGAGGCATGAGGACCAGCTGGTCAGACTTGTCCTTTTCAGACCCCACTCCACACCGTATCACCTCTTCGGAGTGTTGCACCACCATGCAGGACCCATCAGGTGGGGAGGGACAAGGGCAGCACTCCCCAGCCCTATGAGCTCTGCAACAATGATCTTTCATGGAGAAGGGAGGGAGCCAGGAGAATAAAGCTCAGGGTTTATCCGCATCATCTTCCCCTGGACCCTGCAGGGCTCCTCTCTGCCACCCTGTCACGGCCACCAAACGCTGGCTGTAAAAGTAGCATTGATTACCTCCAGCTCCATGATCGCTTAATCAGAACAGGATTATTTTACATGCCTGCATCAGTGGCTGCTGTCTCAATATGATTTCCCCCTCCCCCTTTGAAAAGAAAAATAGCTTTTCCCTTTCCTTATGAAAGCCAACAATACCCGGAGTGAGGCAGCTGGATCCTCCAGGATTTATGGGCTTTTCTCTCGCTTTCATGAAAGCAGGTGCCTTTGGGACCTCCATTGTCCCAGCCCCCAACTAATAATAGGACTTTCTGCAATGAAAGATCCCTGCTCTGAGCTCCCAGATACCTCAGCCAGAGGAGCTGCCGCCTGCCCCGAGGTGTGCCCAGCCAGATCGGGAGGAGCTGCCGCCTGCCCCGAGGTGCGCCCAGCCAGCTCGGGAGGAAAGTCCTAACCCCGGGAAGAGTTTAGGCATGGGATTCTATTAAAGCAAATAATTCCAGCTCTTGAGCATCTCCCAAGAGGAGCCAGCAGGTTTCCATGCTGATGTGGGGAGGGCTGTGTCCCGCTCACCCTGAGCTCCACTCTCTCAGAGGGCCCTGGGGTGCGGGAAGGTGTGCGGCTGCCTGCGCCCTGCCGCACCCTGCCTGGCCGGCCCTCCTCACCCCGGCACAAAGCACACTGCCCCTATTCTTTCGGCCTTTGTAGCCATATGGCAAATCCATGTAGACACAGCCAACATCCATTTATTCAGGCACATAATGTCCCGCAACAGGGAACAATTGGAACTTTGTTTGCTTCTATTATTGATGCGAATGGGCAACAGAGAGAGGGAGAGAGAGAAAAAAATCATTTAACTATAAGAGATATCCAGCTAATTATGAACCATATGTGCCTATAGTTTCAAAGCAATCCACTGAAGTTCATTTTAAATCTAGACTACTTTATTAGTAAGGAAGACAGATGTCTCAACAGTACATGCATCAGAGGAAACCATGTAAAGAAGTTCTTGAAATATTTAACTAGGACTCATTCATAGTCAGAGGGGCTTTAAAGTGCCCTTTATCATGAGAATGCATGGGCAGAAGAAGAGGAAGGCTGCCGGTTGTTACCGCTAACCCACTTACCCCTTAGTGGTAAATCTCAAATTCCACTTTAGATTTGAGGACAGGAATATTTTTGGAAAGGATTCAAAATATCAGAGATCTTGAAGGACTGATCTTGCAGCTCATTACAGCTACAAAAAGTCAGGTCATTATTTGAGCCACCTTAATCCCAGGCTAAAACCAGCCATGCAATTAGAGGAATAATCTACGTCAAATCACCACCTCTCCATCTACTGAGAAGCAAGAGCTGTGAGTTTGAGGGATGGTTACTGCAGTTCCTCCCCTGCCCCGAGAGTGATAGAGATGGGAGCATTAACATTGCCAAACCTACAAAGTTTCATTTCAAACAAGCATCTTTCGAATCCTGCAGTGGGTTCCTAAAAGGAAAGGGCACTGCAGGAAGACTGGAAGGGAAGCTTGGCAGGAGGAAATCTTCCAGATTTTTTCTTTTTTTTCTCCCCTCCCCCCCCCCTTTTTTTTTAGGAAGTGCAATTATCAGCAAACAGTCTTGGCACAACGGTTAGCGCTATCTTTATGAGCACAGCAACATCTACCAGTAATTAAGCCACTTCAGTTAGATGAATGCAACATATGGTTGACACTGGGAATCATTCTCCTCCCCAGCCTCAACTTTTCTTTCCAGGCCAAAACTTGTTCTGTTATAGCTTAAAATAAACAAAAAGCTGCTTTCCACTTCTTGAGCAAATATTTGTTGCTAATGAGCAGGAGATGTAGGCAACAGGATGGGGAAAAAAACCCATCATTTTTAAAGAATAATTTCCTATGTTTGAGTACCAAAATAAAATATGTTCACTACATGCCCAATTCATTTGCAAAGAGTTGTGATTGCTTGGTAGGATGGCTACACCCGAAGATCCATGCGAGGAATGCACGCAGGGAGACAGAAATTGAATTGACCATGTTTAAGCAGAGAAATAGATGTGAAGAGGAAGAATGCATCCATATACACAAACCCACACACATATATGCATGAAATAACTAATCAGGGAGTATAAAATAATTAATCAGGGAGCTAGAGGGTTTTTTAGCCATTTCATCATCTATTGCTACAGAATAAACGGTTTTCTAATGCTTTCCCCTCCACTAGCATGTAGCCTATCAGAAATGTTGAGAAGACTTTGGAACAAAGCAGGCCTGAACACTAACTGAAAGTCGAAAGTCTTTGTAAGATGAAAGGGTAGGATTATACCTGTTATTCTGATTTACAGAGAAAGGAGGAGAACTAAGTATCTCCTCTTATATCACATAGCATGTAGAGTGGTAAAGACGATGCAGTCTCATTTGGTGTCAGTGGTGAAATTCTCAACAAAAAGAACTAGATGTTTTTGTTTGTTTGCTTTTTAAAAATCAAGGGGTATTTTTAGCCCTATATCTCCAAGAAACTTTTGCTTAGACAGATTCTGGGGGGAGAAAGGGGAAGAAAGATGCTAAACTATTAGATAAGCTGCACAGAATGTAAAAACCCAGAAGCAGGCCCTGCTATGAGATAAGAAAAAAAAATACCTCAATTTTTTTTTTAAACATAGGACAAACTAAATTTTGGAACCACTTTCCCCAATCTGCACAGACGAGTCTCTGCTGCAGGAAAACCAATGGCCAGTGGTGGTTGTGCAGCCTTGCATCCGCATCTGTGGTGTTACTGGGTCCCAATCTATACAATGGAGACAGGGATGCAGGGAAAGGGAACAGGAGGCATGGACTTGGGGGCAGCACTACAAAACACAGAGGATGGGGCTAACAGGGTACAGGTGAAACAGAAGCACATTTGAAGCTGGGGTATACTGGGAGAGGCTGGGCAGAGAGCATCACACTGTGTGCAAGGGGAGGGACAGAAGGGAACAGGTCATGACGTTTATATTCTGCATTATATATTTATTTATATTCTGCACATTCCTTCAGAGGCTGCCTGGCCCCAACACATCTCTCCTGCCATCAAACACCCATGAAACTCATCTGGTAACGTCCCATCCCTCCCTCAACTCACCTACATATGGGTACTAATGATAATCTGTTATGTATTATCCCTGTGGGCCAGGTCAATGTGGGATCTGAAATGCCCCAGCCTTGATGAGGAGTTACTAGGCTTCACATCACCCCAGGATTACTCACTTTCCTCTACCAGATTTGCAGTACGTACTTGATGCTCTCTCCTGCGCAGGCACTACACTTTTATTACATGCAGAATGAGGGCTGGGAAGGAAATACTCAAGTTTCAGAGGTGCCTGAGCTGTCTGTACAATTTCAGCCCAGATCCTTTGCTCACAGTGCATTTTCACAGGCATGCTCACAATTTCTTGCCTCAGGGCACATTCTACCCACTTCATGCAGGCACTTTCACTTGCAGAATGAATCTGAGCTGTGTGGCAAAGGGGAAATTGCTGGGGAAAATGTCCAGAGAAGCTGAGAAAGTAAAGCAAGGGCCTGCAGGCTGCTTTTGTGCTTAATCCAATGCCAACTCCTGGATGCAGGATTTTATTCTTTGGAGGTCAACTGACTCCTCCTGACCTGTTCCTGCAACAGAAGCTTTGTGCAGTCCTGGGCAAGGTGCTTGAAGTTTTTGTGAGCAGCTACTAATTGTGCTCATCTTTGTTGGGTATCTAATAGGAGATGCTTGGGTCCAACTCGCAAAGAAGGTGCTGAGCATCCACAGCTGCAGTCAGGGTCACTGAGCATCAGGCTCTGCATGTGGTTTCAGCGAGACAAAGCCCAGGGCTTGGAACAGGATGGCTAGGGGTACCTTGGACCAGCACTCAGAATTAATTATTAGCTCTCATCGCTTTTCATGTTGGCCACCATCATTAAACAGGGATAATAACGCTTGTTATTTATATTTTAATCCATTAATGTTTGGAAAGCTTTCAGATACTACTGTGAGCAGCACTGTATAAACCCAGTGGGAAAATTAATAATGTCTTTGAGCAGGGTTCGAATAGTGCATAGTTAATAAGACACAGCACCGTCTATTGAGCAGTGAGAAAAACAAAATTGAGCAACTGCTCATTAAGCGAGCACCGTTCACTCTGTGCACTCAGTGCGATCATTTAATTAAAAGATTTTATCATCGTGCACAGACACAAGGGGGCAGAGCCGCAGCCCTGACTTTCCTCATCCTCACCTGCTCCTCATCAAACACACTAGACTATTTGTTGGATATAACCTACAATAGGAACCTAAAAAACAGTCAAAATCAGCTTTTTCAAGCCCCTACACTAACAGAATGCTCACTACTTGAGCTTTGATAAGTCTTTTCACCTCACCGCATTTTTTTCCACTCCTTGTCACACATCAGTCCCGCCCTCACACTGCCTACTCTCCATGACTGGGGAGACAAGATGAACTCCCAGACTCCTGCAAGCACAGCATCTCGACTACAGACCATGATCTCCACTGCTTTGCCATCACAGCAAGCCTAGGAAGTCACCCCTGTGCCTGGCTACATGGCAGAGGAAAGGAGAAGAGTTTTTCAGAACTGGAAGATGCTTTGATCAGGGCTATTTCTGAGCGATGCTGGATTAGAGGGACGGGATCACACAGCTCCGCTTGCACACCACTCTCTGCCAGTGCATGTGAAAACCAGCCACCTGAAAAACAAACAAACAAACAAACAAAACCAAACCACCCGAAAAACAAACAAACAAACAAACAAAACCAAACCACCCTCCCCAAGAATACACCACCACTATTGCATCTGTTTTTACACAAAAACAGAGGAAAACTCCCTGTTTGGGTCAGATCAAGAAGCTTGAGACATACTGGGACCCAAGATTGCCATCAGTTTAATCTAGAAAACAATGGGCATGAATTGTTTTCATACATGCTAGGATAATTGGTTCCGCAAAGCTTGCTTTTCCTAAGACCTTCATTCAAGGCATTTTCTAATGTGGCTCTAGTTTACGTAACTTCAGTTTTGCTGGTGCTGTACAACATCTCATCTGCTGGCTGGTGGCACCCAAAGTTTTGGATCTTTCTTTTTTTTTTCCAGGTTTTGCTCTCACCCAGATGAGTAAGCAGGACTGGAAATACTGGCACCTGGTTCTCTGTTTTCTTCTGCACCACATTAGGCCAAACCTGTTTCTTCATCCCACTAACTAACGGAGTCGGTATGCATATCCCTCCAGAGGAAAATGTCCACCTTTTCTGCCAAGACCAAAACTTTGCAGCTGCTACGACCAGGCTTTTCTGCTTGGAGAGGATGTGGTGGTACCTGAAACCCACTTCAGCACTCCCAGATTCATCCCTCCTCTCCTCTGGCTGCCAGGCAGGACTGCTGTCCTGTGCTGCACCGATGAGGAGCCCAGGGAGCGCAGCAGGTTACTGGATGTTACAGGGGTTGGGAATTGGTGGGGGAACATGTGTTTAACTTGCGCTGGGATGGCAAGAGGCACCAATGAGTACAAGCAGGGCAGCAGGACATGGTAGGGACAGCGAGGACACCCCACAGCTGCAAGCAGGAGCCCCTTTTCCCTGTCAGTACAACTCCTGTGCTGGGGTGCTCCTCTGGCCAGGCACAGCCTTTCTATAGCATGAATAAAAGCAGCAGTTTGCATTTGCTAGCATGTGTGCAACACAGGACAGCACAGCTCCAAGCAGCAGCAGGGGCATACAGGAGGAGATTCAGGGGTAATTTCCATAATAATCACTGTTACCAAACATCCATAAACCACAGCCTGCAAAGACACCTTATCAGAGGGAATTAGCTGCAAATTACAAGATGTGCTCATTGGTTTTGGGTTTGTGCCTGTCTGCAGGATTTCAAGGAGTTGGTGCAAAAAATCTCTTTAACCATATTAAATAATAATTTTAAAATCTTAATTTAATTTGAGAGCTATTAAGAAGCAGAGACCAAATACTGAATTTATATTTGTAGCTTCCTCTGTGCTCACTGAACTGTTCCATCAGAGGAAGGACAACAGGGGGGAGGAAAAAAAAAAAAGGAAAGAATAAAACTCTCCTAACTACCATATTTCCCTGAAATTCAACTATACAGAACCAGGATAATTACAGACTGAGGAGAAATACTGCAAAACATCAGCTCAGAAGTGTTGTTTTTTTTTCTTGACCCTGTGGACTATAATGAGAGATAAAGAGATTGACCATTTTGGGAGGAGGATGCCTTCATTTCTCGATGTGACTGTAGATTATTTCAGCTTCAGGAGACAAGAATGTCCCTTTAACATCTGACCTGGCCTTTATTTAAGAGCAGCACTTCACGGTTCAGGAAAGACAGACAATTTTCTAATTCCCAGCTCCGCTGGAGGCTGAGGCAGCAACTTCCAGACAGGACACCTGCTAACACTAGAGAAATGGCATTATTATGTCTACAAGTTTACAAATCTGAGGATCAAAAAGCCTTTGCTTCTGCTGCTACTCCACAGGCCAAGGACGACAACTTTTTCAAAACAGAGTTTCACAGAGGTTTTTCTTCCCCCCTCCAAGAAATGGTTTCTTTTCACTTTCAGCAGATCAGTTTCCACGTGAAAAAGTCAATAGTCAAAGAGTTTCCCAAGTTCCGTTGGTGTGTAGCAGAAAGGGATTAGACCTGGGGCCTTTTCACTGGCAAGCCTTTAAGCAAATAAATGTTCTTGAATTCTTAAAGAAACAAACGTAACTTAAACAAAAATCCCGAATATATGGGATGTGCCCTTCCCCAAATTAAAAATAAAAAGAGCAAGTGAGAGAAACAGTTACTGAAGCTTTAAGGCAAAGTAGGGTTAAATATTTGTCTACTGTAATTTTGCCTTTTTTCTTTTTTTGCTAGTTATCCCAAAGGGAATGGTTGTTCTACATTAGACATTATTGAGAATGAGTTATTAAGCCCTAACACTCAGTGTAATGCAGTGGTTCATTTTTTAATAGATCAATTCAATCCAGAACTCTGATTCCCCAAGAAGGAGAGGCGAAAAGCAGACTGCATTCACGTACACATACCCCAGTTCAGAGTCTTACCTGATAGGCAAAGGCATTGCTTGATTCCTCCTCACCCCTGAGTCCCAAAGCTGAAGCTTGCAATTTTTCTCTTAAGGCACAATCAAATCACAATGCATGATGATTTTTTTCATGGTGTTTTTCTTATGTTCCAAAAATCACAACATACAGATCATTCAAAACCAAAAGTTTTAAATGTATATGTATATAAAAATACATACATATATAATTTTTTTTTTTTACTGCCTGACAAACAACGCTTGCTTGGGAGCAGCTCCCCTAGCCTGCAGACAAGGATCCAGGTGTCTCTGTCAGCAATTTGCCAGGATGCCTAACACCTGGGTCACTGTTTGCAGGCTGGTTTTAATTAAGCCAGAAAACTAAGGAAAATTCAGGCAAAGCAGTTGGCTGATACGCTCTAAAATCAGCAAGGAAACATCAGCAGCTTGCTTTAATAAAAGCCATACAGGAAAAAGAAAGTGTAGATTTGCAACTGGACAGAAACTGATATGCTGTCTGATAAATTTGTCTCTCACTGTTATATAGTTTTAAGGGTTTTTCTAACACTAATATACTTTTCCTGTTCCCCTGTAATAAGAATAGGACTTTAGCATTTTTTAAGAGGCCTGTGTACCTCTGTGAGCCCAGACTGCAACTCTTCCCTACCGCTGCTTTGTAAAATTGCCACCTCTGATTTCACAAGAAGCCACCTTACAGCTCTGCCTCTGCACCCACCCCAGAGCCCCCAGCCTTAGTCCAGTTGAAGAGTTTGGTGGTGGCTAATCCATGTCCAGCCCCACTGGCAACTGGGGCAGATCCTTGGGCCTTTCCTACTGCTATGGGATTTGCTCTAGAGAGCACTTTTGAACCCAGTGACAACGAAAATGCAGAAGTGCCTTAAAATATGGCTGAGAGGAAAGGAATTAAGCAGCTTGCTTGCTGCATTAGCAGCACAGCAGTGGGGATGCTTACCTGGCTGACCTGCCTTGAATAACCTCTTTCTAGCTGAAAACCCAGGAGCCAAACCCACACCTCCTACCCCAGGGTCAAAATCATCCTGCCACTGGGTGAAGAAGGGGAGCACAGCCTCCTCTCCTCCCCTCAAATTACAAAGCCTTGAGTGTAGAGAAGGGCAGCCTGAGCTCACAGCTTTGCCCCAAGGTTACCCCTGCAGAGCTGAGCTGCAGCACTGCAGTGAGACACATTAATAATTTGCACCAATAAAAAGAAGGTGGAAGGAGTCTGACTTCCATCCCATACAATTGCGGCAAGCACTGTCTAAACTGGCTTTAAAGAAGGAAAAAAAATCCCATCATTTTTGCTCTTTTTGGCACTTTTTTCCTTGTTGAGATAAAGCATTTCAGTGTGATCACCTTTGAGCATTTGTAAAACCACAGACCCCATTTCAGGACAAGCTCATCTTACTAAAACCCAGTGAAACCCCGGAGACATTGGGGAGGAAGGCACACCTCAGCATCTTTTCCAAATCTGTTTTGGTGGCTCTTCCTCACTGCCACACCTTCGGAGCTGGCTGGATCCCCTCTGGGGTTTTGCATGTTAAAGCTACCCACAGGTGCCCCCTTTTGTACAACCTGGTCCCCCTCCCCACCCTCAGATCCTGAGACCTATGGTGCTACCCACTCCCCTCTTCCCATCAACACTAACACCTGCCTTTTCAAGAAGAAGTTTTTAAAACAGAGAGATCCCTTATTTTCATGCCAAATCCAGCTTTATGACCCTAGTGATGGTAAGATGCTAGCTAAGGAAAGCTTATTTTCCCACTGCCCCAAGAAAATGAGTTTTCCGTGGAATCCTGTCTGATCCAGGCAAAATCGTCCCTGCCTCCCATCCCAAATCGCTCGCGCCAGTTCAGGAAAAAGAAAAATTTGCCTTTTTCCTCTGAGGAAAGCGGTAGGCAAGGCAGGGAAGAAGAGCTTTAAAGGGAGGGAGCGAGGAGGCCGAGCTCACGCACGGATTTTAATCTGATCACTTCCCTGTCAAACTAATCCCTGCCTGACTCAGATCGGACTTTTAGAAACGTGCCTGGAAACCAAAAAGCAAACCTCATTTGAATGAAGCACACACTCCGCAGCCCCCATCTGCAAAGGGCCGCAATTAAATGCGAGGGAAAAAAAAAAGGGGGGGGGGGGGGGGAAGGCGGGGTAGGAGTGGGGAGAGAGAGAGAAAATTAGCATTTTCCGCGGCCATCTGGCATGAGGAGCAGGCGAAGAGGAACAAAAGGAGATTTAGGCAAAGGGGAGAGGCGAGTGTGCCATGGCATTGACCTGCAAATGAGCCTTTGTGAGCGAATTAAAGCTTCCCGGACCCCCCGGGACACCCCAAAACAGGCACCATTACAAACCATCCGGACAAAAACTCACTCATCAAAATTGTCTGCGTTTGAAGGGGGGGACGACGACACACCATTTAAATCTGCACCTTCCCCGCCCCCACCCCCTGTAATAAGCGGTTAATAGGGGCTTGGCGGGGGGGCGGCCCCCGTGCACCCCCTGCCCAGCACCCCACTCTGGAGGCATAAGGGGGGCGGACGGGCCGGGGAGATACCGTAGAAACGTGTCTCGTCCATAAAACCCAACTGAAACGTTATTTATAGCCCTAGCCCTAAACAATAGGGAAGGAAAAAAAATAAAAGGAGGGGGGCCTTTGGTGATATATTAGCTTCCAGATGCTGTTTATTTAATTCCGGGGGGGGGGGGGGGGACACGGGACACGGACAGGTTTGTTTGAAAGTATATTTCTAAAGCAAATATTAATGACTTTTTTTCTCTGGGGATGGTAGAGAGGAAAGGGATTATCAGGGGTGCTATGGCCCAAAAAGAGATGGAAAACCGTGAGGGTTAGAGCTTTTGTTTCCTACCGCCTTCCCCCATGACTCTTGCCTTTAAACTGGGATTTTGAAGTGAAAGCGAAGATTTTGGCCTGGGGTACATACATGGGGGGGGGGGGGGGTGGGAGGGGGTTCTGGTGTAGAAGACATCACCCTCCATCCTCTTTCCAGAAAGGGAATAAGGACTAAAGTCGGGGGCCAGCTGGGGGAAACTTGTAAATGAAACGTGTTTCTTTTATGGTCCTCCCCGCCGGGGGACAGCCCCATTATAACCCACCAGCTATATAGACTCAGCTGCCGCCTCCCCGGCCTGCGGCAGGTACACGGGGGGGAGGAGAGCCAGGGGGCTGTAGGCAGCCGGACATCCCCCCCCCCGCCTTGGCTGGGCTGGGCTGGGCTGGGCTTTGCAAAGCCTAGGGAGAACCTCGCTCGGGGCGGGGGCAATGAGTGTGCGGGTGGGGGTGCGCGTACGCAGGTGCGGTCCCCAGCGGGCTCTGGGCTGGGGGGGTCCGGTGCTCGCAGCCCCCCAGGTGCCGCTCCCCCGGGGTTTGTTTGCAGTCAATATTCATGTGTTTCTGTCACCGGGGCGGCTCTTTTCATAGTGATCAGCCGGGCAGAAGGCTGAATGACAGGAGACTCGTGGCTCGGCTGCTTTCGGGGACGGGGGAGGGATGGATTCAAGCCGCCCGACCCGCTGCCGTTGCTTCTTTTTTTTTTGGGGGGGGGGGAGGGGAGGGGTGGGGGTGGGGTGTGGCGGGGCTGTGGTGCTGGACACAGGGCACCATGCGCCTCCCTCTGCAAGCAAACAGGATCCCAACCCCAAATACGCATACACTGCCTTTGGGCTACAAGGGTGCTGGGTCTGGTCCATCACCCCCCATACTGTGTGCCGTGGGTGACCCAGGGATGGGGTTCTCTACAGTGGCCACTGTGGGGTGGCTGGAGGCAGTCCGCGGTGCAGAGGGGAGCCCCAGGATGGCCACGAACCAGGCTGGCTAGAGCAGATGGGGTGGCACCAGGGCTGGAGGGGGGAGCTACCAAAGCATGTTTGTTTTTTTGCACACTGAGCACCAGGAACAAGCAGCAGCCTGCACCTTGCACCCCTATTCCTCAGCGCACTGCAGTGCCATAGAGAGGGGCAATGGTGTTGTGGGGTGCACAGCTCTCCTTGCCGCACAAGGTTATTTCCCTGGCTGGGAGGGAAAAAAGTCGGTTCCCAGCTGGTATGGTGGGGCTGCCTGCTGCAGCAGCGGCGTGTGTGAGCCCGGCGGTGGAGGAGCCGGGTTTTGTTCCTTCCCTCGCCTCGCAGCGCTGCTCTGTGTGTGCGCGTTTTGTTTGGTTTTGTTGGGGTTTTTTTAAAGTCCACAAACTTGTGATTTTCTGTGCAACTTGAGGGGGGCGAATCAGTCTGAGAGAGAGCCCTTCCTATTGAAAGTGGAGGTGAATAAATTATGAACAGACGAAAATTGGAACAATGTCTCCGAGCGAGTGTTTTCTAGAGAGTTACTATTCCAGGCTTTGAAATCAATTGATACATAATTAGATTCCTCAAGAGAGGACAAACAAGGGCTTCCATTCACCCCCTCCTTCTCCCACATGCATCCCAAAGAGAGAACGGAAGCTTTAGCAGAAACCAGACAGCCAGCATTCTCCAGCACTAAAAACATATTCTGGCTTTGGGTGTTCATTTAACAAACAGATCCTTGAACCTTGCTTCTGTTTTCAGTTTATTTCGACCATGTTTCTTTGTGTTCAGTTCATTAAAACATGTCTCTTTTGAGATCTATTTTTACATTTCAAGAATCCAGTATTGTACTTCTGCAGTGGCAGATGGCCCTAGACATCCAAGCATAAGCTCTTTCCTGTTTTTTTCCCCTCTTTCTTAGGTCCTTTCGTGCTGCACTTGAAGCTGTTAGCAACAACCATCCCTCGTTGCAACGTCTGGGGCAGGCGCCCAGTTCAGCACCACGGTACAAATGTGTTACAGTCTCTGCTGTACCCTCAATGTGTATTTTAAGTGGATGCTACTTTCTGTAAAATAAGAATACTCCACAGCTGGATAGATCCTGGTCACGCAGGTGGCATGGAAACTGATTTTGCGTCTTTGCCTTATAATTACCTCATGTTAATGTTCTGTAGTCCCTCAAATTACTTTATTAGCTGCTAAGGTTGAGTTTGATTCTTGAAGGAGATAAAAGTTAGGTGCCTGAGCAAGGGTACACAACAGGATGCCTGAAAATAAAGATTTTGTTTCCTGAAAGAGCTTTGAAGGAATCGGAAAAGACATAGTTATTAGAAAATAACATTGTAAAGGTTATTGAATAGAACAGTGGCACCCCTGCCCAAGTGGGCCATCTGATTGAAGGCAGCAGCTTCAGTCCTCTGGCTGCCCTAGCAACAACCACTTCAGAACCTGCTATCAAACATGGATCAGAGTGCTGCAGCCGTTAACATCATTTATGTCAGATACGAATAGGATTAAAAAAACCTGTACCAGCAACAAGAAAAAAAAAACCAAAACAACAACCACCATACAACAAACCAACCAAAACCAGCTGCCTCAGATGCCATAGACCTGCCATAGACTCATCTCTTAGGTAAGGTGCCAGTTCTATAGCCTACAAGTTGGTTGTATTGAAGACATTAAAAACAAAATGACAAATTTCTACGCCTTACTAAATAGTGGGATCTTTAGGAGGGAGCAAGGTAAATCTGACATATGCGTTGTTTGGAAACTTAGGCATGGATAAATCTGTGGCCTCTGTAGGAAAAAAAAAAAAAAAGCTGAAAAGTTCACCAACAAAGATGCTTGGTTGGATAATAACCAAAGTAGAAGTTCTCAAAATATACAAGAGGAAGCTATTTTGTTTATGTTCAGTGCACAGATAGTATATATTTATATCTGCATGTGTGTGCATGTTTATTTCTGTGTATGATTTTGTGCGGTTCATTGTTCTACCTGGGTTAAGCAACAGGCTAAAGGCAGAACCAGCTGGAAGATCTTGGTCAGTGCAGGCAAGACTCAATTTTGCTGCTCCACAGGTGGTACACAAACCTGCCAACACCTGATGGGAAGCAGGACAAGCTCAGAAGATGCAGTGCCATCTCTGCAAGGCAATGCTCTTTCCTGATGTCTACTCCTGTATCCCAGCCTTGACCGCGGTGCTCTGGCATAGGCAAAGCAGACTGCAGGCCAGTTTGTGGTCTTGAGCAGTCTACTGCTTTAAGTAATTGCCTGACTTGTGTCCTGAGGCAGCCTTGTCTACTGCAAACTCTAAAGGAGAAGAATATGGATTGGAATTAGCCTCAAAGGTTTTTGTTTCTCCTCCAGTCTTAGCACAGGCTAGAAAGCCCAGCATACATCTTTCTGCCTTTCTGATGAAGTAGGAGATTATTACACAGAGCTTAGTGGAATAAATTTCTACTGCCACTGCAATGCCTCTTGTGTTGCTGGCCCCAGCCACAACACAGAATGTGGTTGGGATCATCAGCAACTCCTGGCTGGGTGTATGGAACGCTTCAGCTGCAGCAGGAGAATATTACCCAGGATGGCATAGCAGCAGGACCTGTGCTGGCAATCACAGACTCCTCTGGGACAAGCCTGTTTCATGTTTGCCTTGTGTTAGCCTCCAAAGCATCCCAGGTTTCTGGAAGGGGAAGCAGCAATGAAAGTTCCTTCCTTTCCCCTCCACATGGATTCCCTTAACTTTTTTCTGAGAAAGAGGAAGCGGTAGAAGAAATCTCTGTGTTAGAAGCTTTTTCCACCTTACAAAACACCTTGGACTTCTGCAGTTCAGAAACCATTCCTTTAACCTCCTTTGCATTCTCTCCGAATTCAGAAGGTAGAGGTGGAGGCCATTTGGGAATGAAACAACCTACAAACTTACAGCTTGGATAGAGGGGGACTTTGGCAGCTGCAAGTAAAGTCCTAAAGAGGTCGGAAAAAGACAGTAAGAACACAGAAGTAGTGGAGAGGAAGCACTCATGGGCCAAGGAGTGATTTGGGCTTGTCAGGAGGTGTGTGGGAAGCAGTAAGCTCTGCAGATCCAAACTTGTTTACTTGTACTCCTCAAAAATATCCAGATCCTTCCAACATTTGCATTTTTTTCCTTCTTCATCATCCTTGTTATTGTTTGTCTTGGTGATTTACTTGAAAGTGGATTAGACAACTCTGGACCTTTCATTGGTAGAAACATCAAAATAGATGATAAGTAGTATATAGATCCACTACTAACTCCCACAGTTAGCACAGTCCTCTAGAAAGAGGTGTCTGTTAATGGCTTTTAAGCAGAGCTTAGAGGCATCTGGAATAGCCATTTTCCCTTATTGTACATAGAAAATAAAGATTAGCTAGGGCAGGAGGATGTGCTTAGAATATAATCAAGGGCAACGGACAAACTGATGTCGCGTCTCTTATCTTTGTTGTTGAGTTCAGGTCTATTCCTGCAAAATGACTTGTGCAGACTCCCCTGAAGCCAGTGGGTTTCTCTGTAGAAGGAGTTTCCCACCCAGCATTGGTTTGTGAGTCTGGGGTCGCACAGCACAGGCTCTTTGGGGTGGATTCGCTCTAAAAAGCAGCTGGTCCTTTCTGAGTGGCAGATGCAGAAATCAGTTTTTTCAATGCACAAATCTTGTCAAGATATTTTTTTTCTTTGTATGACCTTTTTCTCTTAAAATTTGCATAATTTTTATTCCCAAGACTTATTCAGAGCACTCCTGCATCAAGGGCCACTAGAGTTCATGACTGAGAACAGTTATTAGCACTCTCTGGGCCCTGTACCACATCTGAGCTTCAGCATTTGCAGGCACAGATGTTAACAGTGACTGAAGAGGTGATGGTCACCACTTCAAGCATCAATGCTGTACTGGTGAAGGCATTCAAAGAAACAGTATCTGAAGGTGGCTCTATGGATATTGTACTATGGTTAAAGAAGAGATGCTCTGAAGGGCCAAGCAAAGCCTTACTGTTCTTAGCACGAGGACTCATCCCTGCAGCAGGAACGGCCTAAATCACATAGCAAGGTAAAATGATGGAAACCAACACTCTCGCAGGCTGCAGACGGGATGGGGAAAGGGCAAACCGGGCGGGTTCGGAGATACCTCCGTTTTCCCCAAATGCACTCAGCTCCCGTCGGGAGCGGGGCCGGGGCCCCGCAACAGCACCGCGTCGCATGCGCTCCCTCTGCTGGCTCCACTGCAGCACCGCGCCCTTCCGCGCCACTCCGCGCCCGCGGGGACGGGGGAAAGAGGTATTGCCGTCCCAACGGGCTCCCAGCCGCCCTGCGCGGCGGCGGCGCGGCTGACGGCAAACGCCGCAATAAAAAACACCAAACAAAGGCAAACAAACGAGCAAAACCCCGTAAGAAAACTAACAAAATAAATAACACCTTGCCCCCAACGCACACATTCCGCCCCGGCCCCCTTTCCCTCCCCCTCAGCAAACTTATTCTAGGGAAATGAAGCTGTGACCCCAGACTAGCTAAGCTAGGCTGCAAAGACAACCCGTGCTGTCTCTCTAAGCTATGACAGTAACAGGTGAAAAAGAAAAACAAAGCAAGTCTGTTTTGGGACTGAGACACCCATCCAAAGCCACACACCAGGAGTTAGAGTGACTTGCTCAACCCGAGTGAGATGCAACTCCAGTGTCAGTGCTGAGCGTGAACCAGAGATTTTAGTGAGAGCTACAAGATGCTAAGGGAAGAGCTAGTACACAGGAGAGTGAAAGTCTAAATGTTTGTACTGCTCCTGTTCTCACAATAGTTGAATTTTTCAGCCAAGATGTATGGCACTGCAACAGTTGATATCCAGTGTTATCTTTTTAATGCAGCACTTTAGAATTACCGTGTCTCTGAGATTAACATTACCAGTTGAGATCCTCAGGTTCGCTTTCAAAACTTTGACAGTTTTGTCCATCTTCTCAGACTAATGAAGGCAATAATAGAGATGTTCCAACTCATTTGATATTTAAGATGTTTACCTGTGTGGTTGGGCTAGAAGCTTCAGTTTCTTAAAGTTTTATTTCTGTTTCACTGAAAAGCATTCTTGTCCTTATGTGGGAATAAACATAAACTTTTGCCATTGTTGCCATCCCACTTCCCACTTGCTCCACTCATCCTAAACCCACACTCTAATCCAACTGCTGCAATTAGAGTAGAAATCAGAGCAGTGAGTGTTAATTGGCCACAGAGTACATGGCACACTTAAATCTCTAATGATAATACAGAGAACATGATGACTAACTTTGATGATTTTCTGTTTTAAGATGAGCTTAATTCTATTAGCACAAACACCTGAAGTGATTTTAAAATTAGGATAATGCTATTTCACAGTAGCTAGGTGAGTGACGGCAAAATGAAAGCATTTAAACATTGATTTTTGGAGAGATGCTAAATACTGCAAGTGTCGTGTTAGATAATGTTTCATTAATAAGAACTGATGTACATGCAATTTGGCCAAAGAAAGGTGGCGGAGTTGTTCCAGGAGCAAACCTACCAATACACAAAATCAAATGCAGTATTTTTTAAGAGGAATATTTAGAAAAAGAAAGAGGTAACAAAACATACAGATTCCAGACTGGCAAATGTAGAAAAGAGAGGTGGAAGGAATATTCAAACAGGGAAGAGACAGCTAAAACCCTAACAAAAGCTGTTTGAATAAATGTACTAGGGATCTAAAAAAATGTAAAACAGCTAGTGACACCAGCACTAGGAGTGTTAAGAAAAAAAATGGTTTAATAAAAGTGGTTAAGAACTAAAGGGCAGGACTGTGACTGTGTTTGGAAAATCTGGGTGCAGCATCAAGGGGATCTCAACTGGTCCTGATTTTCAGATGGCTAGTGCTTTGCTCGGTCCAAAATCCATCTTCAAGAGTGTTCAGAGTGGGTTCATTGAAACACAGGGAATTAACATTGATGATTACGTATGCAAAACTTGCCTTAACTTGGTTTTGTGCTGTTGAATATGGAAAGGGAGGAAAAATAAGCAAATGGAATTGTGGCTGTGGAAGAGGCAGCAGCCCCAGGGTATGTGAGGAGCCTTGATCTGAAGGGGCACGTTGGTTAGAAGTGGATAAATTTGGGATCAAGTCATTGCACTGTGAAGTAAAACTGACCCAATCTGATCTGCAACATCAGAGATGATGGAGCTTTTTTAACAGTTTAGTGCATGTTTTTTGCTCTTGATCTTTGCCTGATAAACACCAGACAGGTTTCTCAACTAGGGGCAAAGCTTCTTAGCTAATGACTCCAAAATAACATGACAATGAAAACACTACCCTAAACTTTCCTTACTTGTGTTTAACAAAAAAAGAATCTGATGAGGTGTTTTATAGACTCTAGATAAGTAAATACAGAAAGATTAAAGCAATAACCCCACCCCCTCGATAGGTATCCTTCCATCCTCCTTAGGAATAGCTCAGTGGTGCTTCTCACCTAGAACATGGCCTTGTCCAATCCTCCCTGCAGAGGGAATTAGGTAAGCAGTGTCAGCAAAGGGTCAGTAGTGAGAAAGGGAGCTTTATTCCTGGAGCTATCCCTGCTTCTCAAGTTGCTGACCATCCCACTTCTGCGAGCGTCCTGGATCTAGCAAAGGGCACAGCAGTGCTCAGAGGCTGCAAGCTGAAGTCAATTATGGTGCATATAAATCAGATTTTTCTGGCCTTCAGGATGCTTTTGAATCTGATCACACTTCCTAGCCTTCCCTCCCACCCCAATATAGAGCTTAAGCAGCTCCTTTTTGTGACAAAATAACTAAGGCTTTCATGTACTCCTATGAGTTCAAAAGCTGTGACTCCCAGAAGACAAATCACCAGATGATCATTGGTCACAAGTAAGGGCAATGCTGCCATTTTAAGTAGTTATGTCTTCCCTGTTGGTAGCCTAAGTACCATTAATTTCAAACCGTAGCATGATAATCCAGCAGTAAATTAGTGCAGCAGGCTGTTTTCCTGGGAGACATCAACCTTCACCCTATGATTTGTGTAGCTGGAAGAATGCTAAGCCTGGCTCAGCTCTGACTGCATCCCCTTACAGTATTTTCACCAGTTCCAGCAGCAGGTACATCAGGCCTGGAGGAACAGTGCATTTATGCAATCTCAATGAATCCCCATTGCCATGACAGCAGAAAACTCCTTTATATTTTACCTGTGAGCAATGAATTTGTCATAGAGGAGGCACAAGGCAACTGGAGCAGATATGGTCTTTTTTGTTTTGTAAACAGCATGTTTTGCAGAAAGCACATTATCTAACATGTACTACCAACATGTTGGTAGTGTTCTGTCCTAACCTTTAAGGAAGGGTAACCTTTTTTTCTGATGACAAGAGCTTAGAAGAGGAGGAACTGGACGCTGTTATTTTAAGTTGCAGCTCAGTAGGCAGATAATTCTTCAAAACATGTGAAAGGACATTAACCAATACAGAAGCAACAAAATCTTACAGTTACCTTATTCTCCAGTCAGAAACTTTAGGGGTTTGTATGACTTTTTTTCCTAAATATAAGCCATTGTCTCCTGCAGAGATGATGGACAACAGTTTGACCCCTTCTGGTGATTACTGTTTTTCTATAGAGAGGTTTTACATTCTGGAGAGTGATCACTCACCATTGGCTGCTGGATTTTGCACTGTATTAAATGTTTTCTTTTTCAGAGCTGTTACTTGCGCAAGCTTTACTGGCACAGTGAAACAGTTGCCCTAAAATTCAGACTAAAAACAGTTTCCAGGAATCATCCTTTCAAGTAATTTTACTGCTAGAACGATCTTGTATAACTCTCTTCCCTTATGCTCCCCTACAAAATACGGAGCCAAACTCATGTCAATGTAAGCCATCCCAATCCATGTTGTATTTCAGATCTGTCCAGTGAGTTTATCTCTAAATGAACATGATGCACATCCGCTCACTTCATAAAACCCCTTTCCATTCCTGGAATTTGAAACAAACTCCATTGTTTCCTGGAATACCTGTATTGGTAGGCTTATCCAACAATTTAAATAAATACCTTCATTTGGGTTCCTAGGCAACTTACTCCTCCACAACAGAGCAAATCTCATTCCTTTTTCAGTTGTTTTTCTTCTTTAAATGTATGAGTTACCTTGTCGTAACTTGTTGGTTATGACAACTAACCACAACCAGAAAAACCCTGTCATTCTCAGTTTTGGGGTATATTAATTAAGGGCAGGTTTTTGACCAGTATTTTAGACAGAACAGGCACTTTAAGTCCAGGCAACTGAGCAGGGACTGTTGGGGCATGTGAAGAAGCCCAGGGCTTGAGTCACAAGTGTACTAGTTGGGCAATCTTGGCATTATGATTGGCCTCGGAATCATTAATGTTGGTATTATCATGCACTCACAGTACCACTGGGAGATGCCACGTATGAGCACACAGACTGGTGTGATGTGGCGACCACTCAGTGTCTAATGAGGAAAATTCAAACCCAAACGATGCACCAGGCTGTTTACAAATGACATAACCTGAGGTCTTGGCTTTTTCCCTCTGTTTTATAAGGCTGTGTTATACAATGTCAACATCAATGACACCATAGTCTGACAGCAGCAGTGCACATAGTCATAAAGAGTTAGTTACTAGTTATTAAACACTTCCTCCCCCTGCCTCTCCCTTCCTCCCATTTGCTGCTCATTTTCTTATCCAGCCTGGAGAATACATATCTTGAAAATGGCATCTCATTTGGTGGGACACCCGCTTGGAAGAATCCAGACACTTTCACCCAGTCACGCAGATGTCAGACTTTACAAGAGCATCCTTAGTGATACAATAACATAATAATTAAATATAATAATGACTACAAGCCCAACCCAAAACTCCCTTGATATGAGGGCCCAACAACACTTGCCAATGCCAATAATCTGCATGAGATGATGTGTAATTAAAGAGTAAGAGGATGCTGGCTGCAGCTGTGGAGGTGACAAGGCTGATGCAGTTCAAACTGTTGGTTTGCTTTCCACAAACCTAGAAACAGTACTTTGGAGAAACTTTCAAGCTTTGCATCAATTTCTGATGGTTCTGCAGAAACATCCTTCATTAACTGCCTGGAAAATCTTAGAGCAGATTCTCCTGGAAGGCATGCTAAGGCACATGAAAAACAACAAGGTGCTTGGTGACAGCCAGCATGGCTTCACTAAGGGGAAATCCTGCCTGACCAATTTGGTGGCCTTCTGTGATGGGGCTACAGAACTGATGGACAGGGGTAGAGCAGTTGATGTCATCTACCTGGACTTGTGTAAAGTGTTTGACACTGTCCCACATGACATCCTTGTCTCTAAATTGGAGAGACATCAATTTGATGGATGGACCACTCAGTGGATAAAGAACTGGTTAGATGGACGCACACAAAGAGTTGTGGTCAATGGCTCAATGTCCGGCTGGAGACCAGTAATGAGTGGTGTCCCTCAGGGATCGGTGTTGGGACCGGTCTTATTTAACATCTTTGTCGCTGACATGGACAGTGGGATTGAGTGCACCCTCAGCAAGTCTGCCCATGACACCAAGCTGTGTGGTTCGGTTGATAAGCTGGAGGGAAGGAATGCCATCCAGAGGGACCTTGACATGCTTGTGAGGTGGACTGATGCCAACCTCATGAAGTTTAACCATGACAAGTGCAAGGTCCTACCCCTGGGTCAGAGCAATCCCAGGCACAGCTACAGGGTTGGGCAGAGAAGAGATTCAGAGCAGCCCTGCAGAGAAGGACTTGGGGGTGTTGTCAATGAGAAAATGAACATGAGCCAGCAGTGTGTGCTTGCAGTCCAGAAAGCCAACCGTATCCTGGGCTGCATCAAAAAGAGTGTGACCAGCAGGTTGAAGGAGGTGATCCTGCCCCTCTACTCTGCTCTTGTGAGACCTCACCTGGAGTATTGTGTGCAGTTCTGGTGTCCTCAACATAAAAAGGACATGGAACTGTTGGAACAAGTCCAGAGGAGGGCCACGAGGATGATCAGGGGACTGGAGCACCTCCCGTATGAAGACAGGCTGAGGAAGTTGGGGCTGTTCAGCTTGGAGAAGAGAAGGCTGCATGGAGATCTCATAGCAGCCTTCCAGTATCTGAAGGGGGCTTATAACGATGCTGGAGAGGGACTCTTCATTAGGGACTGTAGTGATAGGACAAGAGGTAATGGGTTAAAGCTTAAACAGGGGAAGTTTAGATTGGATATAAGGAGGAAATTCTTTCCTGTTAGGGTGGTGAGGCACTGGAATGGGTTGCCCAGGGAGGTTGTGAATGCTCCACCCCCCACAGTTTTCAAGGCCAGGTTGGACAAAGCCTTGGGTGAGATGGTTTAGTGTGAGGTGTCCCTGCCCATGGCAGGGGGATAGGAACTAGATGATCTTAAGGTCCTTTCCAACCCTAATTATTCTATGATTCTAACTGACACAAAAATGTCACCTACAGCTCCCCTCTTACAGATTAGTGTTGCACACAGTTTCTGATAACATCTGTGTGAGCTTTAAAGGATCTGTGTCGCTGCTGGAGCTGGCCAGAGTGCAACTAAAGACTGGAGATCAGAACCTAGCCTGGAGCACAGCTGGAAATGGCACCAGTGGCATTTCTGTGCAATTTTACAGACTATAGATGCTGCTGTGCTGCAGACACTGAATGCAGTAAACCACCCTCAAATTGTATATTACAAATGTTGCTGGATTTAAAATTTTCCTGGAGAAGTAATGCAAGTTTGCAAATCCAGAAAGAATATTGTTGGGACTTGTTGCAGTGCTCAATATAAACTGTAACATGCAAGCTGCTAAAATGAAGATATTTGACATTTGCAGTCACACATATGGGCCTCTGAAAACCATTCTTCTGGGCTGGCAGCTCCTGTGGTCCTTGAATGATGCACAACCTCCTTTTATATGTTCCTGTGAGATGCTTCTGCAAAGTTGGTCTTTTAAAAAAAATTGTGGAGAATAAATCTGAGTAAGAAATGCAGACCTGGTCTAAGGGAAACTTTGGAAACCCACTTAATTTGCATGATTACTTTTGCAAATCCTAGTTGCTATCCATGCTTTGTGTTCAGGTGTTTTCTTGTTTTTGTTTTTTTTTTGTTTGTTTGTTTGGCTGCTTCTAGATGCACAAATCTGGAAACAGACTTGCTCGAAGCAGACCTGAGCCAGGCTTTGCAAAGGAAATGTCAGCGCTGTCTGAGGCCAGGGACACTTTCTGAACTGATAAGCAACTCCGAGTGGCCAAACTGATCCATCTCCCTCTTTGACAGTGCCATTGTCTAACCTGACTGTTGAGTGAGTCTTTAAGGCTAAGCAAATGAGAAAACCCTACAACTGACCATGTCCAATGACTGCCTCCATCATGTGACGTTTCCTCCACGTACATAAAGGCATAATTGACACTGTGGACCTTCCAGATGTTTTGCAGTTCATTTGGTTCCCACAAAGATACCAGAAAGTAAGTCTTGTGAACTGGCAGTACTGTTTTCTTCTGAACATGTTCTTATCTCTAAAACATATTTAGATGCAAATCATATCATGTCTTGTGGTCCCACTTATTTTGTTCTTGCTTTTCCCTCTAAACAGATCAAGCCATTATTTTTCTTAAGCATAAAAATATTCAGATGTTCC